CACGGGCTCTTTCCCGTCTTCTCCCTCCACTTCAGCCACGCCCTCCAGCGTTCTTCATAACCCGCTCTAGACGGTGGTGCAACTCTTTCAAGTGCATAGCCTCTAGCAAAATCTCGGCACACACGCGTTGCTCCTTGGCCCCCAGGTCTTGCACCTGCCAAAGCGTACCGGGCGATTCGCGCTTCAGGTTGTTAGTGATTTCGTTTTCCTCTCACCTCATCAAGCCGCCTGCTAGTTTACTATCTTCTCCTGGAACGTGCTCTGCTTGGAAAACTAGTCTCCCTTCGACTCCAGCACGCCCGTCCACCTCGTCAAGGCCCCGACTCTTGCGTTTTCCTTCTCCCTCCCCCTACAGTTCTTCACTTCGTTGTCGACTCTCATCGTCACTACCTCCCCATTCCTCCCCGGACCATCATCCTTCATCTCCACCAACACGCACGTCGATACCACCATTACCATTCACTTCCAGCACGTTTCACACGCCGTTTCTTGCGGTAGATGCAAATTACGAAAATGATGTGTAAGAGCCGAACCATCATCAATCGTCCCTTCTGAGAATGGGCAAATCCTCTGTAGCTTTTCAGAAGTCTCTGCCTTGACGCATGATGACCCACAGGTTTCCGTTACGCGACGCCGCAGCAGCTGATGTTGTCTGTTCTACTGATGATGAGATCATTTACAATACTTGAACAACAAGGCGCCTCATGAGATTCATGAGTTGCCCCACGACACCTCGTGGAATTGGTCCTGAGGTGCAACGAGGTGCCATCGGGCGGGTCATGGGGCCTCATGAAAGTCCATGGCACCTCACGGTACCGCTCACGAGGTCGCTCATGAGACACCTCACCAGACGTCTCATGAGCGCGGTACTATGAGGTGCCGTGAGGTGCCTCATGGCATCTCGTGAGGCGTTCCATAAGACGTCTCAAGAGGTGTCATGACACATCCCGTGGGACACCTCATGACACCTCATGAGACCTCATGAGACCTCAGGACACCTCAGGACAGCTCATGACAGCTCATGACAGCTCATGACAGCTCATGACGCCCAAATACACCTCACGCCACTTCCATGGAAATCCATTGAACCCGATGGAATTCCATGAACTTCCATGGACGTTCATGACATTATCACAAACGCTCGCGAATTGTGCCATGGAAGGTCATGACATTTTTGTCATGAAACCTTCATGAAAACATATCGTGGACATTCATGACATGCATTCATGAACGCCCATGAACGTTTACGGAATGTGTCATGGAACATGGTCAATGGACATTCATGAAATCTTTCATGAGCACTCATGGAACGCCATGCAATCCCATGGAATTCTAAAACTGTTTCATGGACATTGATAAACATTCAAGGATGCCCATTAAATGCCCACGAAATGTTATTTAGACGTTGCGCCGGGAGGAGCAGTTTGGAGTGTCCAAAACATGCAAGGCTCATTTTTCCGGCAATTTGGCTTCACTGGAATGTTGATCGGACGCCCGTGATTGTTACAGACTTCCATCATGAAACGTTTGATGAACTTTCACGGACTTCTTTGAACATGGCGTCATGTACTTCATCGACTTCCATCGCACTTTTCATTGTTCCATAGACTTCCATTACACTGTTCATTGTTTCCACGGAGTTCCATGGACTCCCACGGAATGTTTCGTGGAACTCCATGAAAATCCATGGACGCCCATAAATTTTCGTGTAACATTCCATGGAACGTTCCATGGACGCCCATGGAAGTCTATGGACTTCCATTAAACATTCCACCAAAAGTAGTATCATGTAGATTCCTGGGATTTGGGGTTTTGTGTCATGAGGCTTCACGAAGGTGTCGTCGGGCGTCGTGAGGTGTCATGGCGGATCGTGAGGTGCAGTGGGGTGTCATGAGGCGTCACGAGGCGTCATGAGGTATCAATAGCTGTCATGATGGGTCGTGGGGTTTGACGAGGTGTCATCAATGTCATGAGGCGTGTTAGGGTTCCATGAGGTGTCTTGAGGTGTCATGAGATGTCATGAGATTTCATGAAGCCTCGTGGGGTGTCACGAGGTCTCTTGAGGCCGGGGTCTCATGGTGTCTTACACAAAGCATAGTGATTTGACTCGTTACACGGATCATGGGGGAGAGTTCACTCCCCGCTTCACAGCAATAGAATTAACACCCGCGGTTTAACTGAATGTATGTACTCGCCCTTGCCCTAGTTTCATCATTGATTGTTCACAAGCCAATCCAAAAGCATTCAAACATGGACGCCACAGTGGCTCTTCCTATCCTTCAGACCACCACCGGAGGTCCGCCGCTCGACTTCATCGCCATTCACTCCTTCTGTTGCTCCAGATGCCTGGATGAATATCCTCCTCTCCATAAGCTGCTGGAAACGTCGAGTGGCCATTCTCCTTCTGTTCCCGCACGAAGATCCCCAGAGGCATGGCGAACTGCTGTGCTCGTATGCGCGAACGGAGTAACATATTTCACCTCTGTCTTTGCGTTCTTCCCATGAGTGGGCCCTGCGGCGGAAGAACTGGGCCTCCCTCGCTGAACACGGGATACGTCCGGCCATTCCCAAGGAGGCAAGGAGGATGGTTGTCGTCGGGACGATGATGTTCCATGCACACTCCCTACCCACGTGGCACTCATCGTACCGTCTTGTTGCTGATGATGCTGCTGTGTTTCAGCCTTTAGGACTCCTCCGAGAACAGGGACAGGAGGCCTGTTGGCAGCGTTTGCGTTGGCGCGGGTAGGTGGTTCTGGACGAAGGGTGAAGCGGAATACACGAAAGGCTTGCCATTGTGACTTACTGCCCTGCATCGGTCGCGTCCGAGGTGCTTCCCCTGGAGTGACGCCGATGGTTCCTTGCCGTCAGGCACGGCCGCCTCCGGTTGAGGATGATCGCGGCCGTCTGACACCGATGGTTTTGGTGACTCCAAGCGATTTGGCCATTATTTGCTCCTTGACATTCCTGTCCATGCACCGAAAAGGAATCAACCGTCGCAAACAATCCCAGGGCCCTTCCGGCCTTACTGCCGTCTCGCCAGCCAAATGATTTCCACTTCGAAGGCGTCCGCGATTACGGGGAGTTTTACACAGGCACGCCGCTACACGTTCATAACTCCCGCCTCGCCAAAGAAAAATAAGTTCAGTTCCAGCCTGGTCCTCAGCACGTCACTCATGATGATCACGTCGGAAGGCTCTTCGGTGAGATTTCACTTCACACGCTGCGGTTGTGTGGTCTCAGACCCTTGTCGCGAAAACGTTGGAAGGGGAGCACGGAAATGAATGTCCTCCACCACACGCTAGGGCCCTCGATTCACAACAAGGTAGCCCCACTGACCGTATGCATACAAGGCGAAAGTCAATTTCCACCGTACTTGTTGCAAGGGCCAAAACTGGCACAACGTCTCAGGCAAGTGCAGATTGGGTAGGCTGGTGCCACTGCTGTGAGGCCAATCCAGGACCGAGTGCTATCTTCTGAATCAATTGCCGTTTGTGACACAACCGTCTTGCCGGTGCACTCTTTATGCTGGAGGAACCGAAACATCTTTGCATCCTCAGGCCGCGTTAATACCCCATGGCAGAATCACATTGCTGCGCTCGGAGAAGGGTCGCCCTACAGTAGTAATATTGTCGGCAATATGTAACTTTAAACCCGTCATCAGACGTAGGGTTACGTTACCACCTGGTAGGTTTCAGTTGGTCTAAAAACGGTTGTGACCATGACAACATGTGTCGCAGTCTCTCTCTGGAGAACAGGGCCAGGGTCGCACTGAGGAAGGGTTGTTACATGCGTGCTGGTGCGTGCCTGCATGCGAGAAAGGTTTCCCTCGTCGACAAAGCAGTCGAACGTTTTGCTAATACACGAGGCTTTGGCGCTTCTTGCATGTCGAGCACGATGCGCGAACCAATCCGAGTTTGTGTGACTGTGTGGGGATTCAAACCCACGCCTCACACCTCGAAAGAATTCCAGACAGTTTGGCAGAAAATTGATGTTCGTTGACATGTGGGAAAACAGCCGTGCGACAGCCAGCAAGCCTATTATCACATTCGTTCTCGCTGTGTCTGCCGCAGCTGTTACGAGAAGATGACCGCCGAGGGACTCAATTCCACTTTATCCCGCAGGGGGTGCGCTGGTGTTTTGTAATAGTAGAATAATGTCCACTGCTGATGCTCGATACGCGAGGAGGATAAGACCATGGAATCTACAGGCAGATGTATCTGCCCTCCACGCGCACAGGATGGTCTTCGTCTTCGGAGCATAGCGAAGCCGTCTAGACGTTGGACAACAATGAAGACATAGCTTAACACTACAACATTCTGCACAAGGATAGGTTCAAAATCACCAGTTACCATGCCCGCACACATGTCCCCCGAAGGTAGTTGATGCCAGTAGTCAACTATCTGCGCGTGATCAAGCAATCATACCTATTCATGCGAAGTGGGGCACCCAAGTCCTACAAACGCCCGGCATCCATTGCAGGTAAACAGCCCCGCAATAAGTCACCTGACGCCAAATTCCAAACACAGTTGGAGTGGGGGGCTCCAGGCACACAAAACCAGCGGCAGTGGTAGTGAGTACTTGGGTGTAAGGCGTGGAATAGTCTACACTTCTGAATTTCTGCAATAAATGATCTCATGTTGTTAGACTAACCTGTTTACCCCTAATAATATTCCCACATGACATGGATGGAATGCGTCGAGAAGAGAAAAGCAGAAACATCTCGGTACACTTGCCCGATTTGCACATGATATTTCAGGAAAAGGGATACACCACAGTTCACCGATGAGCCAGACCACACCAAACATACGCCCGGGGGAAAAAATGAGCCTTCGATTTCCCAACCAATGCTATCATGTTTTTCGCCAGCCACGTTGGCTCACGATGTCCGGTGTCATCTCCGGAGTCACACGGTTTCGGCTGCATCTGAAATGGCATGGGCGACATCCAGCTGTAGGCGCCACCAGGGGCCCCATGTCACTCTCAACCCCGCTGGCAGTAGGTCACACGGGTGCTGTCCCGGCGATATTTCCGGTAATTCTGTTGAAGGCCGTCAGAATCTCGCGCTGGGTGTGTCCGTGACCATGAGGAGCATCCTTGTCTATGCCGCTGCCAGTGGCCATTGTTCCCAAGTCGGCATCGATGTCGTCGACAGGTGGCTCCAAGAAGGGTCTCATGCGCCCGCAGGGGACGAGTACCTCGATGGATCTGCGAAGCACGTGGCAAGTGCCGGAAAACGTGCTCACATAGAGGGACTGGCTGATGAAAACTGTTCACACAGTTAGTCCACGGGACGCCGTGTGCTTCACGTTACCGTAGGCGCGAGGAGAGACCTCAAAGCCTTACTCTTCCAACCCCTGACGAACCCTGGTACTTTTCCGGCTTGGTACCTGCACACCGCATGATCTGCATGGGACTCTGATCTTGCAACAACTCATCATACCTGTGGAATATTTCATCGCAGAAGGCGCCCACTACGCACCACTCCACGAAGGGGGGGGGCTGGGAGTCAGGAAGACGAAATGGGTTCGAAATCACCCGAAACCTGTCGTACACCGCTCGGTCACTCGAATCGCCGGCCGCTGCCAGACATATCAGCATCGTGTGTGTCACGTGGCACCTTTTGGTGGACACGTCCGCAGATGAGGGGCGGGGAGAAAAAGGGGCACCACGAAAGACGCGGCGACTCGATGGCAACCACCAAAATATCAGAAGACAGGTCGCGTTCATTGCAAGCAGGATGGCGGCGAGAAATGCATGAAGAAAAGTTGTACCACATGAATAGTCGAGTGGTGTTCATGGCTTCCGTGAGTGATGAGAAGAACGCTCGCATCGACTGAAACGGTAGATGTATCAAACTCGTGAACCAGTGGGAAAAGGGACCTACGGCGTGAAACCATCCCGTAAGCGAGGTTGAGAATTGTGTGTGCGGTGTACTCGGTTGAAACTCCAACCTGCGGTCCAATGGTGTGTGATTTTAGTGCAGAGGTTGACAAGTCCGAGCCCCTCGTTCCTCCGGGTATCGTTCACTCTTTGAATGATAGGGCGTGGTTTGAGTGACCTCGGTTCTCGGTTCCCCATCTCGCGGTAGAGGGATTGACGGCCCCATCTCACTTCCTTCGATACTCAGAAACATATAGGGAAGGATTTCACCTTGTAACGAGCCGCGCTGTTCCGACAACGCTGCGACAGGAGAGCGGACGTTGCCTTCGCCACCCGAAAACGACTACGATCACTGCCTCCTCCGCAAGTGTCAAGGAGCACACCAACGACTCACCCGATCATGCAGCGACACAAGCCAGAATATTGCTCAAGCACTTCAATGCAACGGCCCATTCTCTCTCGTGCGGCATGTAGATCACCCTTCGCCGCCGTCCCTATGATTCAGGGTCTATTGAATGGAGGAGGGTCTGTGTGGCGATCAAGCAGTGTATGAGAAAATCCTTCTGCGCTGGAGAACAAATCTTCTCCGAATGAAAATACCAGGCACCAGCGCCACCATTTTCCAGGTGCGGTCAAACCGCCAAACGAAGGGATCGCTAAATGTGAGGGTACAAGATGGGGTGGCGTCCCAGGCCGGTGTTGGGTTCTTGAACACAGGAGGTTGCAGTAAGGCAACGAGTTGAGGAAGCAGTGAAGGTACGCGGCCACGGCAAAAGAATGGCTGGGGGTGGGATTCACGTGTGCTCTCATTGTGTTACAGGGGTGCAAATATCCACGTCTTGCACACATCCGCTCCAGCTCACCCGTCGATGAAAAGGATGCCGATCTCCCAACGAAGGCTTGATCTTCTCACCGAAGAGACCGCACGCCAGTTCGACATGCGAATGGATTGCGATTGAGACGTATACCAACGGTTGTACGGAAACGTGAGAGCCGGTCGAAGTGGGAAGTAGCCATGAGAGTGACCTGCGACCTGAGCCTGGAGATGGTATTTGTTGGCGTTGCAGCTACCCGATGTTGGAGTTAGCGAGAAATAGCTCGGGCCCGACAAAGACATATCAGATCAGTTTCACCCTGGAAAAATACCTCCAAGTGTACCACGGTGCTAACCAACCCCGGGAACGCTCGCCTGCTTTCCAACGTGAATTTCGACTCACCGATCCACGGCTTCTTGAAGCGTTCCAAAATCGATAACATCGCCATCGTCCAACAACGACGTCAAAGCCTTGGAGAAATCAGCAGCCATCAAGTCTTCCAAGGAACGGTGTACCCCGCCTGCCCTGCCATGAGGCTCAGAGTCGTAGAGGCCGTTGCCGCCACTCGCGCTCTGCTCGATCATGGTCGTGTAGATCGCCTCCGCAAGCGCTACGCAAGATTGCGAGACGTATCGATACAGCTCGGCTTCGGTAGCAACCTCGATTAGCTGGGTGCGCCGTGACCACAAGAGCGGAGGGGTAGGGTAGGTGGAAAATCATGATCTTGAGTGGTGTCGAATCAGTTAGCAGACGTTCTCATCGTTCGGCTCTACGGACTCAAGGCCTGTTTCCACGAGCAAGACGAAGCTGCCGGTGGGCGGAGAGTCTGTGTCCCTGCCATATTCGCGAAAGCCCAGCTGATCATACTATGGCATGAGAATGGGCATCGCCAAGCGACCGCTCGATGCAACCAGCGCGCGAACCTGAGGAGGAGGAAGGAACTCTCCTTGGACAGGGAGATACTCCGCCTGCCACTTCCCACAGGACACGTTGGCGATGTCTTTGAACTTGACGATCTCGGCGAAACCCTGGTTAGCGCATGGCCGCACAGAAGACGCAGAGCAGCAATAAACACAGCTGCCCCAACGCCAGCGCGAGGAGAAGACTCCCGCTTGTTCATTTCAGTGACTTTGGTGGTTGCAAGAGAAGGATGGTCTCTAAGGAACCGGGAAAAGGAGTCGGTTCAGATTACACAATCGCACAATGAAGGTGACGTTGGCACGAAACCTCCATCGCACGCACAACTGAAAGAGAACATCCTAGAGGGAGAAACTATCAGCGCTCAACCCATAAAGTCCAGCGCCAAACGAAACTCTCAGCACCAACCTCACCACTGGAAGCGTATCGGTAGACGCTTGCTCGATAGAACTTCTCAATAACGAGTCCAAAAGAGCCAGGTGTTTCTCGAACCGCTCCTGAAGGAACACATGTACCATGTGGTTATCGAACGAACGCACGTCGGAGGACACAACGATTACACCTCAGCTGGAGCGGATCATTATTGCAATGTGACAAGCGCGTCATTGGGGAGACCCACCTGCAAGCTCCCTAGGGGCCTGACGCGTTGTCACAGAGAACAAACAACGAAGTTCCAGGAGTCAGGAGCGGTGGGCACCCGAGTGTAGGACACAGTCACGGAACGAAGCTCACCTTGTCTCCCATAAAGCCGTGCAAGTTAGCCAGAATTACCCACACCCTGGCCAGAAGCAAGAAATATAGGAGAACAAAGATCGAATTGTGTTTTCACCGCAAAACTACAAAATCACTGTCGAGCGGGCAAGCCTGGCCGATTGGTCTAAATACAAGCACCAAGTGGGTCGAGATCACAACATCTACAGAGCAACGCCTGGGTAATGCGACACTACGATGAGTGTAGGTTCTTCCGGGTTGACTCACTTTGCGACCTCGGCGCCTCCGGGACCGGAGCTGCTCTTGGCAAGCGCTCCTTTTGCCAGCTGGGCATAGCTAGTCACCTGCGGCAGTGACACACCAAACGACAAGTGGAAGGTCTGTCACACGGACGAACACGCCACGACGACACCATATGACAATGGTGACCTCAACGACATGCGAGAAACGGCATGATCATTGGCAAAAAATCAACTCATTCTCACACTTAAGACTTGAAAGATGAAACGCCGATACATACCGATTCGATCGGGCGGCCCTTTATGAGCGCCCCGAGAGCAACCGCACACCAGAGCGTGCACGCTGACGGGTCCATAGGAAACTGGTTTCCTGCCGAGGTCTTGACCAGATCCCCCCCCGGAGCGACTGCTTCGAAGTAGTGCCCTCCCTCGTCTCAGTCGTCCCCAAAGACTGACTGTTGAGATGAGGCGGGGGATAACATGATCGTCACCATTGTTTCCTGAATGTGACTGACAAAAACAGCACACATGGGGCGAAAGTGCCACGGGTCGGATGGTCGCGTAGGGCACAGTACTGAAGGAGAAGTGCGAAAAGAAACACAAGAAAACCACAACTCTAGACGAGAATGTCAACACCGCCCGCAGTGCGGCAGCTTCGATGACGTATGAAAAGGTCAAAGCCATGAACTTAATGTCGCGTGGACGCCGGCAGTATGCGTGACCCAATGCGTATACGGTTCCAGGCAAGCTTGATGTGATACCTCGGGATGGTGAGTGGAAGAAACCAACGCATCCGAAGAGGCCGCTGAGGAACACGTTCTCCTGCATCCCCACAAGGCCAGTTGCCGGAGAGGCACTCAATCCACATCTGACACACCATATGGAGCACGGCATGGGCAAACGGGGCAGGGGTGATGGAAAAATGTGCAACCAATACGCCACGGGCAATTTCAGTCGGCGCGATAGGCCATAAGCCAGCTGTTCTGATGTTGATCGACATCGCTGCTGCTACATTGTGAATGGCCGTCCATCCTTCGCCATGGGTTATGCCAGCCGTGGTGGGAACCGCCGTTGTGCATATCTAGAAGGGATTGTGCCCTGTCCCCGGCATGCTTCTTCGATCTAGGCTTTTCCACCGTCCCCCGCCCACACGGGAGTAGTCGGGTGATCTCACGCTTGGCTCGGCGGCGGTTGGATCTGGGAAGTACTCGTTCTCGCTGATGGATCCAAGAAGTGACGAGAGCTTTTCGTTTTCGTCTCCCAACACATGTCTCTGCCTTGAGTCATGCCGTCCATTCTCGAAACCTTCAATCGATCCAAGAAGATCCGAGAAACAGCTTGTGTCTTTGTCTCCATTTGTGTGTTTCTGCTGTGGTAATACAACACGCCCCCCACACCACTGCTCGCAGAGAACGAGAGAGCGGAGAATGGGAGGCAGGGAAATAGGGAGGTAAACAACATTGCTCTGCCAAACACACGGTTTAATCGAGGGCATGCTCAATATTCCCTTGGCCACTACCACGTGTAAAGCAACCGAACGAGGCTATCCTACTTCACCTCTTGAACGGCAACATGCCGGACGTTTTGAGTGCGCCAGTGGTGGAGTGAAGCAGAACCTCCTTCGCGTTCACGCCATACCGATCAGGGCCCTGAGACCGATGGCGCTGCATGTGTCGTCGATAGTCATACTGATGCCACCTTTCGCTGTACGTGTACTGATCGCCTGATTGAACACAGCGCCTAGATGATGTTGGTACAATGGGCAAGTAGTCAGCGATGCAGCCAAACATGCACAGCAACTTCGAGCTAAACGCGTTGGTGTGACTATACGTAACGCTAATGGACAAGTTGTGGAGGGGAAGGTGACGTATTTCGCCCCGCAATGTTGGTGTTTCCCTGAGCCGCAGACACAGGAGACAGTGCAAGGTGGTGGGTTTTTCAGAGAACATATTTTGTGGTCCAATCCTGCAAGTACGCACCTAAAATACTTCATCCGCGTTGAAACCAACTAGAATTCGCCAATGAGCCGTGACAGTGACTTTCCTGCAACCCAGGAGCTAATAGGAAATGTTTATCGACCTGTCTGTAAGGGTTTAATATCCGCGGAGGGTCCAGGGACCCCAATAACCCTATGTTTCGACCCCGACAAGACCTATGGAGCACCGGTTGACAATCTGCTGGCTTCTGAGGAGGCTGAAAAACAGGGCACGCTTCGTCACACCGGTGTGGTTGCACTCCGCCAAGATGTGTACAGGCATATTGTTCCGAAAAATCGTGGGAGACACCTCATAGAACCACCGACCGGGAGATGTCGAGGTAAACGGGGAGCACAACGCGGAGACTTCACGAGCGAAAATGGAACCCTGCTAGACGTAAGAAACCGAGGTGATACACTCAGCGGAGTCCCGCACACCCATAGAAACACAACCCCCCGCCGTCGCTTAACCCCTGCCGCATGGGAAAGTGTACACTAACAGCAGACTTGGTGCCTGCCCTCTGGATTCACAGCAAGAAATCTTTCTTGACGATGTGCTCTTCTTGCTGTTGGAAACGCTCTCGACCGATTAGGTGTAAAAAAAAAAAAACTGCCAAGCCTGTATATGGAAGTCACTGCCAAACCAGCAGCAAGATTGGGCGAAGTCGAGGTGTTGATGCGCTGTTGGTTCATTCGCCACATAAGCTCAGATACGATGTGTAGATATGAATCTGACAGCAGTAACAGGGTGCCCGGCGGGGGGGGGGGGGGGGGG